TCAAACTGCCCACCTTTTGGTTAGCAGCCGAGCTCTTAACCACTGCGCTACCAGGGCTCCAAGATAAGTATAGAGGGTACATAATCCAAGTGTTCCACCCATAGTCTCCAAGTGATAACTCACCCCATGAATGCATTTATACAGTCAATTAAAGTTTTGGTTTTCATTATATTTGTCTGTAAACATTTAAGAGCACATTGCTAATCCATTCATGACAGGGTAAGAAAAAGTGATTAATTGAAAATCAAGTGTTTTAGATTCTACTCTGTTTCACATTACTATTTCTTTTGGAGTTTATTCAGCTAATTGTCTCTCAGGTCCTTATTTTTTTAATGGAAAAATGAATACATTGACAAAAGATATCAGTTACCACACATAATTGTACTACCGCCCAAGTAATTAATTCAAACACCCTCTTCTCTGACCACAAACTCTTCTGACTTGCTTTGCAGCCATTCCTATTCTGATTGTTCCTTGTTCTGATGAGCTTGGTAATGCTCTGAAGAAAAATCTGATTGTTATCTTCTTTTTTATAACAATCTAATGGTTTCCTCCATTGCTCTTTGAATGAAACAAAACTCTTAACATAATCTACAAAGGGATCTACTTATCCCTTTCCATGTTTCCATACTCCACCTCCCTCTCTCTGCTACAGCGACACTGGCCTTTTCTTCGGCCCCTTGTCCTTGTCATGCTCCCTCCATCCATTGGTGCTACGCACACGCTGTTCCCTCTGCCGGAAATACTCTTCCCTTCACTCCTCACTTAGTTAAACCTATTTGTTCTTTGATCTCCATTGTTACTTCGTCAAAGACACTTTCCCTAATCACCCCAACTAGGTCTAACCCCATGTGACAGACTCTCTTAGTACCAGGTCCCTCTCTTGTCTTGCACTTAAAGTTGCAATTTCATGTTAAATCATATGATTATTTGATTGATGTCCCTCTTCCCTGATGGAACATAAACTCTGCTAAGGCAATGCTTTGTCGAAATGAACTTACCACCGAATCCTCAGGACATGCCTGCTGGCGTACAGCAAGTTCTCTGCAAATATTTATTGATATTTACAGAGTAAATACAGTAAAACTCTTTCATATTTCTCAAGATGAAGATATTACAAGGTCTTTAACTATAGCATTTCTTACAAGACACACGATTGTAATGTATTCTTTCACCCAAAACATAGGTATAGCTAGAGAGGTTTTCCACAGAGTAAAATCATTCTTCATATTTATTATTCCCTGGTCTTTTTTTGGTTTCTTTGTTTTTCCTGTGCTTTTACTTAAAATCCTAACATAGGAGCTTTGATGATGAATGTGAATAAAATTGCTCAATCAGTATTTGCTCTCAGATTATATATAGAGAAATAATGTAATTTCTTTTTCTCTAATGTAATTTTCTTGCTGTTCATTAGTATTAATATGAATATTGTATACTAATACCAGATAATTCAATATGTCTAAGCTTTTCTGTATATCTGTTTTCTATTATTTTATTACCATGGATGTTAGCAAACATTGTACTTCCTACATTATAAGAAAATATTAAATCTAAAAGTACTCATCATTTTATAGCAATACACATGGAAAATGGATCCTGATAGCAAGCTCATTGAAACCTACAAATATTATCTGTTTTTAAGGTGAAATCATTTTAAAGTGTTAGATGAGTAATACAGCAAGGCAAAAAGATTTGAATTTTTAGAAGACACTAATGTAAAATAGTAATGGCCACTATAAGAGAACAAACTGCAAAAGAAGGAACATGACTTAGCAGATGACCTGCACTGGTCTCTTATCAAAGGCTTCACCAGCCATCAGCTCAAACTCATGCAGCTGAATCAATTCAGGCTGTGACCCTGCCAACAGCTGCAAAAAGGGACTGGGGAAAAGATGCCAAAGTGACTCAGAGAAGGTTCACTGCTAAATCATGGGGCCTGCATGCAGATATCAGAATTTTAGAGTGAAACAAGCCGGACAGATTATCAAGCTCAAACACATTATTTTGCACATGCAGGAAACCAAAGATAGGAGGGCACAAGTGATTTGTCAAAAGCCACAGACCCAGCTGACGGTACAGCCAGAACTGAAACCCAGTCTCCTAGTGCACGGCCATGTCCATGACGCCATGTTGCCTCGTCACACAGGTTCTCTAAGATTCTCTAAAAAAAGAATAATCAAGCAATCCATCCCAGGTCCAGACCCCTTCAGTAACTGGAAGTCCCACAAACGTTTTTTTAAATAACAATAGCATGGGCCAGATCTTATTAGCAAGCAACAAGTAATAGAACAAGTAACCATTTCCCTTTGTTCACTTAACATTCTTTAAATTTCTCAAAGGCACATTAGAAATATCCGCAAAATGTCTTTCCTCAATGTTTCTGTGTCATCACAGCTTTTTCCTGAGTTAAAAACACTAATACAGGCTTTCAGGGAATACCTTCCATATGTAAATTTCTGGCCACATTATGTGCAGACGCAGACACTGATATGAAATTAACAGCAGGACGCTACAACTGGCAGTGTATCCATAAAGCAGCTCTCCAGAGGAAGAAGGAAAAGGCCTGACCTGTAAGGCTTGATGATTTCCGTGGTACACGTACTCTCATCACAACTGATTTCAAACCACCGAGTCAGTAACAGCCAGCACACAACAAATTTCTCAACATTTAATGACTGACTCTAGTGAAGCAGTCAGAGGTAGCTCCATCACGCCACTGCTACTACAAGGAAATCGAGAAATAATCCAACGCAACCCACCCTTTTATAAAGTGGAAACTGAGGCTCAAAGGGCCTCAAGATCACACAGTGGCTGAGCAATTTCTAATACACAGGATTCTACTTCACCCACCCTCAAAATATTAAGTGCAACTTTATGCATGACCAAGAGTCAGTGGTCTTCATATTATAGGAGATACAGTGCTTCTTAAAATGGGATCCATAGCCATGCAGTATTAACAAGACCAGGAGCCTCTTAGGAATGAGTATTCTTGGGAATACCCCAGATCAAATGAATCATAGTAACTTCGGCCCAGGAATCTGTATTTCAACAAGCTTTCCAGGAGGTATAGGGAAATGGTGGGGGGGCTTTCCTTGACACCCACCAATATTTTTTTAATGAATGAGATTCATATACAAATAAAGGATAACAGATACTCTTTCTTTTCACCTCAGCATCCTTTAAAGGAGATATTTCATCTGATGCTTCTATCACATAGCCTATAATCTTTCCATGTTTCCATACTCCACCTCCCTCTCTCTGCTACAGTGACACTGGCCTTTTCTTCGGCCCCTTGTCCTTGTCATGCTCCCTCCATCCATTGGTGCTACGCACACGCTGTTCCCTCTGCCGGAAATACTCTTCCCTTCACTCCTCACTTAGTCTTTCCTCAATGTTTCACATTTTTGAAGACCCAACTTTCCAAAATAGTTGAGATTTTTCTAACAACAACCAGAAAAACTTGTACTATTTACCTTCCAATACTCAACCTTAATATTTTGTAATCATCCTGGAACAAAATCTAATACATATTTCTACGTCTTAGTGTCTTAGGCCTGTAATTTTTCACATTCCTTTTTTTTAAATAACTGATTTTAAATAAATATTTACTTTTCAAGGTTCTGCCCTACCTCCTTCACCAATGAAGGCAATTGTTAACAACTGGGTGCCTCCACCCTAATCCACATATTTACTTGGCAGCTGATTATATAGTTACGTATTTGTGTTTTGGTTTATCTGCCACTTCCTGTTGTTTTGATATTTACTCCCCATCTTAAAATCCAGAACAAAGGCAAATAAATACTGTCTGCTTCGTTTTATTCTCTTAATATTTTAGAGGTTGGAAAATTTACAAAATAAATATCCTCTCAACATTCTTGTAAAAGTGTTGCAAAAGAGAGAAAAAACAATTGAGTAATAGTTTCCCAGTTCTTAAAAATACCCAGCTAAGACATAATCAAATGACAAATCCACTGTACTGATACTATTTTGAAAGTACTCAGACAGCAGTACAAAAATACAGTTCTATGATTCTTAGTTCAGTATCCACTATACTTTTATTTGGAGGGTAAGCTTAAATATGTCTAGTTTATTTGCATAGAAATAAAAGAGTTGATAAAATAAGTGTTGGTAGATAAAAGATTAATGAACTCTTTTGGAAGGTGATTTAATCAATCCAGCATTTCCTAACAAAGACAAAACTACTTGGTGAGTGCAGTTCTTGGCCTTGCGGGGGAGATGGCTCCACTGGACTTGGCAGTAGATGTCTTCCAGGAAACTGGAGAATAAGCCTTATAATTCTCCAATTACCTGGCTCTGGTTGGACCTATAGGAGCCCTGGTGGCACAGTGGTTAAAGTGCTCAGCTGCTAACTTAAATGTTAGTGGTTCAAACCCACCAGCAGCTCCATGGGAGGAAGACATGGCAGTCTGCTCCATAAAGATTTACATCCTTGGAAACCCTATGAAGAAGTTAGTTCTACTCTGTCCTACATGGTCACTATGAGTTGGGATGGACTCAACGGCAGTGGGTTTGGTGGGTTTTTTAGGTTGTATCAACATTTACCAAGCCTTGGCCAGAAATGCTCTGCAAGACAGGAGATAACCAGCCTAAACTACCACTTCTGAGCTGTGAGATTCACCTCACCAACACTTCTCAAGAAAAGCTGCATCTTTCATGAGATTTCTCATTGGTTCCACAAGCCACATGGCTTGAGAGTGCAACTCAATATGTGCTCACTATTTTTCGGGTCAATGCTGGTGTGTCAATCAGCACTCCACCACATATATGTGCTCAAGAACACCCAACTTCATAACAAAAATTAAACAAATCCTAATCCCTAAAATAAACTGAACTAAAATGTCAACTTTAAGTTCTGTTTGTACCTCCCCAAGACACCAATGAATCAGTACATTGGGTACAATAACAAGTCCTCTGTGGACTGAGCCCTCAGGGCCAAGTACGTGGGGTAGAAACGGTGCAGAGAGCAGAGGGGCACTTACGGTTGGCACAGCTTGATTAGGTCCTGGTCAGTGGTGCCTGGTGGAAGGCCTCGAATGTACAGGTTGGTTTTACTCAACTGTTCCCCGCTGCTGTTGTTGCTGCTGTTGTTGCTGCTGCTGTTTGTGCTGGGGCTGGGAGGAGCCATGGGGTGGGGAGCTGGTGCATAGGACTGCTGGAAACAGAAAAAGCTGTTACTGGAAAAACAAAGCCAGCACCTGTTCACAGGCCAGCAGAGCAATCTGAAAGCAATGCAAGCTTCTCGGCCTCTCCAATCCATACACACACACACAAATATTTAGATTACTACCATATGTTGCTTCTGAGAACATCATTTGCTTTTTTTCCCTTCTGGCCCTGCCTTTGGATCAGCATAAGTCAGTCATAAATGGTACAGAAAAGTTACCAGGTACTCCTGTAAGTAGCATATGGCTTCTAAGTTGGTCCCTGACCACACTGTAATTCTCCTTAGACCTGTAAAGTAAGATGTTATCTCCCTCCTTGATAAAAGAAAATGGCTGACTCTTGGCACCAATACTATACCCCTAACTTATGCTTAATAGCTAAGCCCCTTTGGTTTGCCCCATTGTTTTCCTCACCATAATTATCCAGCACTCTATAAACGGTAATTCCACCAATGAATGAATGAATCTATCTTAGCTCTTTCCCCTGGTTCCAAAAACATTTCTTTATATTGAACGTCCCTTGTTTGTAAGACTAAGCTACCTTTCTCTCCTTGGATTCAAGATCCTCTTTAAATTACTCTAATAGAGGGTTTCTGAACTTCAGCATTATTGCCAATTTGGACAGGAAAATTCTTTGTTATGGGCTGTCCTGTGCATTGTAGGATGTTTAGCAGCATCCTTGGCCATTTTCCGCTAGATGCTAGTAGCACTCACCCCCATTTGTGACAACAGGAAATGTATTCAGACATTGTCAAATGTCCCCTGGGGAACAGATTTCTCTCCAGTCTAGAACCACTAAGCTGTCGTGCCATTTTTTGACAAAATGGAAATGATAAAATGACCCCCAACAACTTGTAACACAAAATATGAGGATGTTTATAATTATACATGCCATTGTGCCATTATTGTAAATATATGCACTCATTTTACTTGATTATTATTACTATTCAATACAGGTTTAAGTTCTCAAATCACACCAACTGTTTGGGTTTGAGTCGCTGCTGGGTCTCTAATTGGTCGTGTGACCTTTGGATGGTTCCTTAACCTCCTGAGACTCAGCATTGCCACTGTCATGGATTGAACTGTGTTCCCTCAAAATATCTGTCAATTTGGCTAAGCCATGCTTCCAGTATTTTGCATTGTCCACCATTTTGTCATCTGATGGGATTTTCCTATGTGTTGTAAATCCTATCTCTCTGATATTAATGAGGCAGGATTAGAGTCAGTTATGTTAATGAGGCAGGACTCAATCTACAAGATTAGGTTGTGTCTTAAGTAAATCTCTTTTGAGGCATGAAAGATAGAAGCAAGCAGAGAGATAGGTGGGCCTCATAACACCAAGAAACAAGAGCCACGAGAATAGCATGTCCCTTTGGATCCGGGTCCCTGTGCTGAGAAGCTCCTCAACCAGGGGAAGACTGATGGCAAGGACATTCTTCCAGAACCAACAGAGAAAGCCTTTCCCTGGAGCTGGCACCCGAAATTTGGACTTCTAGCCTCCTAGACTGTGAGAGAATAAATTTCTCTTCCTTAAAGCCATCCATTTGTGGTATTTCTGTTATAGCAGCAGTAGACAACTAAGACAGCCATTAACATGAAGAGGATATAATAGTATTTTTCTACATCACAGAGTCTTTACAAAGACTCAGTGAGCTGATGTAAACAATATGGTACCTGAAAATTAATAAATGGACAATAAATGTTAATAATGAAAGTTGTAGGAATAATAATAATGATAATATTTATGGCTCATATCTTTCTTGCCAGAGATACTAGTCTATATAACTACCCCAGGTTGTCTCAGTCATAACCCAGAAGGTTGCCAAAGAAACAATGAGCACATTTATCAAGATTCCAGTGGGGAAACTTCTGGTTGGGTTCTAACCTGAAGACTTATTAGCTGTTTCATCAGGGCTGGGAGATCAGGATTTACCAAACAACAAGTTTTGACACAATAGCAAAAAAGTATTTATTCACAGGTGGTCACACTATAAGACCTTTTGTACCAAGGAAGAAAGCTAAATGAGGATTTGAGGGAAGGAAAAAAATGTACTTTGTGTCTCTACAGTCTCATTCTAAAAAGAAAAAAAACACAAATACAATCGACAGATAAACGGTGCAGACTTTTCATTCCGAAACTGTGTGTTTAAGCCTGACTCAACCGCCTATTGGGCCCAGGAAGACAGTCAAATACCCTGGAAATGGAGCTGACCATGGCCTTGATCAAAGACAGCTGAACGCTTTTTGTAGGATTCCAGAGTGGCTTCCCACTGAACTGAGGATAAATCTATACTTACTAAAAAGGCCTCAAATCCCCATATGAGTCTTTCTCTGGCTATTTCTCCAATCACATCTTGGACCAGATTCAGCTCCACTCCCAACCCTGCACCCTTCCCACTCTGTGTCTAAGTCTGCTCAGCTGGTTCTTACCCATCCTTCCAATCTCAGATTAAGTTTCACCCGACAGTTCTCTGTTATTTACCTTCAAAGCACTTAGCATTACCTAATGTGTTTTCAGTTACTTATTTAGTATCTGTCTATAGCACTAATCTATATGTTCCCTGACGGCAGAGAGTGTCAACTTTTATATCAATAGCCTAGCCTTGTACCTTATAAGTGCTTAATAAACACTTGTTCTTGTTGTTTGGTGCTGCTGAGTCAGTTCCGACTCATATCGAACCCTATGTACAACAGAACAAAGCACTGCCCAGTCCTGCACCATCCTCACAATTGTTGCTATGTTTGAACCCATTGTTGCAGCCACTGTGTCAATCTATCTTGTTGAGGGTCTTCCTCTTTTTTTTGTTGACCCTCTAAATATTTAGGCTACGTCAAGTACAATAAAGATAGAATAAACACAGCACTTAGCCCATAGAGATGGGGGCCAAGTTTTAACAATACCCAGTCTTGTTCCTTGCTAGAATAATCTGTTTTAACCTTTCCAGGATTTCAGATTTGCCCAGGTCCATATTCTCAACTGGATATAAGACAACAGCTATTATATTCAGTCTGTCAAAATGCTACCCATTACCTCTGCTCTCTCAGCTCCCAACTCCCCATCCAGACACCCATCACGATTACCCCGTTTCTCTCAACATCGCTGTCAGTCTTCCAGCCTCTATGGCATAAACCTTGGTGTTGGCTTATTCTATTCCCTAACCCTACTTCCCAGAACATGGGCAGCCACCAAAACCTCTACCAGGTTATAGAATAATTTTTTCATCTGAATTCCCATTGTTTCCCTAGACCTGAGTCTGAACCATCTCATATGTAAAGGGCTGCTCAAGCTTCATATCTGGCCTACTTGACTTTAGGTTTCCCACTTTAACAAAACAGAATAGTCAAATGCAAATATAAACTGGCCAAGAGTGTACTGGGCAGTTTTTGTTTGTTTGTTTTGTTTTACGCAACTGAGAGATGAAGAGATCCGATATGACAGGAGCCAAATCCAGGGCCCCCGACTCCTTTCTTTGAAATGTACACGTTTCTCAACCATTTCTTTAGGATTATTTAATTTAGTATCAACATTTTTAAATGCAGAATTTTTAAATGAACTATACAGAAGAATACTACCCCCCAACATTTGAGTAAAACTGCATATATCCATTGCCTTTTGCAATTTAATACTGCAGTGTAATGGATCGCTTTTGTGTGGCCTTTCTCCCCATGGTCTTGTAACTCTCACTCAAGTGATTGGACGGGACTGTGTGACACGGTAATTAAGGCCCACCAAAGGGATTCGCCAGTTTTGTCATCCCACTGGCCTTGAAGTGAGCCATCCAGAGGCAGGAGAGAGAAGAGCCCACCACCACTAAGGAAGGAGAGACCAGCAAGAGAGACCCCCCAGGAGGCGGTGCAGTGGGCTTCCTGGCCTACAGAGTGAGAAAGCTGAGTGCCTTTAGGAAGAGACTGAGGGCCAGGGAGAGGTGTGCCTGAGAACACAGCTGGGAAGACGCTGTCCTGATGACAGAACTGTATCCTTGAGTGTTCCTAAGCCTGAATTGTAGCATGTTACTTCCCTAATAAACATAATCGTGAGTATGGTCTGTGAGTTCTGTGTGGCCACTGCAACGAAACATCAAACTCAGCAGAAAAGTAGAGAGCGCTATCAGAGGGATGGTTGGTGTCAGAGTTGGTAAAGATGGCTGAGAAAAGGGGCATGTGTGACTTCCACCTCACAGGAATCAGCCTTGGGCTGTTGATCTTGAGTCTCTTTCCCCATTGTGAAGTTCGTGGAGGTCAGACACCACCCCCACGTCATTTTTACAAATATCTACACAAAGCACAAGTTTCTTTTCCAGCATGAAAAACTATTACTTGCTTCCTGATCTAAAGTATTCTGTTCTCCTCCTTGGACTCCCCATAAAACTTAAATCTTTACCTCTGCTACAAGCCCTGCACATAAACGCAAGCCAAACCCATTGCGGTCGGGTCAACTTCAACTCATAGTTACCCTATAGGACAGACTAGAACTGCACCATAGGGTTTCCAAGGAGCGGCTGGTGGAATGGAACTGCAGACCTTTTGGTTAGCAGCCAAGCTCTTAACCACTACGCCACCAGCCCTGCATATAGTGGGTGTTTTATACACTCTTGCTGAAGGGGTCTCTTGGTCTCTGTATCTCAGAATGGGATGAACTCAATTTATCTTTTACTTTCCCTTATGTGCTTTATTCTCGTAAACTTCCCAGAGCCTTTTTAAAGCTATTTGCTACCACTTTCACCTCTGCTAGCTCTAAATTCTTTGAATTCCATTCTGTACTTAGGCTTCTTTTAAAATGAGGCTTTGTTTAAAGCAGTTTTCCCATTGCATAGCCTTTAAAACCACCAGGGAGTAAAAAAAAAAAGTCTCCAGCTGTATGCATCACAGATCAGATGGACCAGTTCTACCAAGCCCTTGACTGATCAGATATGAAAACACCAACTACGTGATGATCGATACCTGTTTACTTAACTCGTATTTTTTCCTCTTCATTCTTTGTGAATAATTC